CTGCGAATAACCGAGCAAACAGACTTATAACAAGAAACATAGCCAGTTACAATTTGCCATTCAATGGATTGGTGGCAGTGTTCCAGGACGTGGTGGGTTTTCGCCTGGCAAGCGTTCTCCCTACAAAAAGCCACAAATGTCCGTTTAACAACACCGCAACGTGGCGTATGTGACTCGCCACCGAATAAAGTCACAGCCCATAACTTTACACTGGCAGGTCAACTAGCGTCACAATTCTACATAGGATCGTTACACTGGGACTTCTACATCTGTATATACTGTTGTCGTTTTACATCCTACCATACGTTGCCCTTTTCCTTCCTTGTGTGCGGGCTCCTCCATTACCTTTCAGTGGATCATTCAGGTTTCTCAATCTCTTATTAGCTGAGGTCCCGTATCTCATGACAGCCAACTTATTGTTTCGCATTTTCAACATTGTACAGTTCCAATCATGGATATATGGACAATTTTCTGCGTTACTGTTACAATTGCATTATAATGTTTGTACCGTTGTACATATCTGATCATGCCTCCATGAGCGTGCCTCGCATAGTCGAGAATAAAATATTTATTTATTTATTTATATCTGTATGCAACCTTTTTATAGATGGTCCATCTCTGCCAATCCATCTTTGATATGTGCGATCACGTAACCTGACGCAGACATTTAATAACTGGGGTGTCTAAGGCAAACCATTGTTTGGTTGCTGTATTCTTATCTGTGGACTATGCTACATGGAATCACAATGCCCTGCCCAACTGCTTTACCTTTTGTTCATGTAAGGGAAGCCATCGCTTTGTACCTCTAATATTTTCTGTTGACGATGATAACTGGTTTGCCTAAGCCTGAGGCACCTGTTTCAAATTTTGGCTATTTTAGGCAAACGAACTTTCGCTGGCTGCGTTCCCTATTCTGGGTCATGTCATAGATATTTATGTTATTGCTCATCTATGTATACGGTGAGCAGTAATCGTTCGCAGTTAACAGTAGGATTCAGCTTGTGTAACGACTTCCCATTGGCATTCCCTTTATTAAGGCCCTACATAGTTTCCCCGTTAGTAACTGTGTAGCCATCGCAAGCGAATCCTTACGCTGCACATGTACGATAACCCATACCGCAGCGATTTGGTGTGTGGCCGGGGCACCTTACGAGTCCGCTACCTATTCATGGTCAGTTTGCATGGGTTTGAGCGTCAACGGCAGTTATATTTCGTAATTATTTTAGAACTGGCCGTTACTGGTATTTATGACAACAGCATGTATCCTGTGTGTCCTATTGACGCACTAGCCCCTCTAACTGGCTGTGTAGCCTATATACTTAACGTACATAAGCGCTTTCAGCTGCATCCACGGATCTGTCACTACGCACCCAACTGCATGCTGCTCCAAGTAGCCTCAGCATACGCATTACCGTCAACGTATTCACCGCGTATGTTCACTGTTTAGGAAACATGAACTGTTGTTGAAATTCCCTCCGCTTCATATAAGCTTGCTCATGGCTTCCCATTCGGACCGATGCTATGGTCTTAAATGGTACATGGTCTACTGTGGCATCTGTATATACCATCATCAGTATTGTCGCATGACCTAATGCTATGGACCATGAACTACCTCATTTGAACGTAGAGGATTGGACCAGACTTGCGCTGCCTATTTTGCCGGGCTACGGCGGTATCGTCTTCCTGGCCCTCCCATTAAATAACGCGCGTCGCGTTCAAACCGCATTACGGTTACGCTATAGTTATCGAATGATAAAACTCACTTGCGGCATTGTCAATGCGGTTACCGTGTCGGTTTGAACGGCAGTTAGGTGGCAAAACAAAACTGCAGCGCTTCACTTATGTGCATCCCTGGTTGCTTAACACATCATGGCAACCTAGTTGAGGTACCCGCCTTACTACACTTGGGTGTCCAAACTAAAAGTTTCCCTTCGCCAGATGATATCCACCTACCAACTTTTACAGTCTTACGTATGTCTACCCTCAGCGGGAGCACAGTATTGCTATCCAGGGTTTGGTCAGGCAGCTTTTAATTGCATCAACACTTGATAAGGTAGTATTGGTTGCTTGGTGAACGATCGGCTGGAAACAGCACTCAAGCGGATCTTCGAAAGCTGCAGTTCCCTATGACCGTATAGCTGCATTACTCGCCACTAGTCAGTGTAATTTATTGTAATACGGCCTTCACACTCTCTCCAAGGTCTCTTCTATGGCGCCTCACCTATATCCTTACGTTTCATGAAGCCGACATGGTCGCGGTGTCTTCATCGCTATCCGTAGCACCAAGTCCACTTTCCTATTCAGTGGATGAGCTAGGTTCTTCCGTTATGCGCGAGCGATGGCAAACCGGTGAATGCAGTAGCAGAAGGAACAACTTGGTTTAACAAGTAGTGATGCGTCATTTCACGGTTAAAAGAAGACGCAATTGCGCATGTTTCGCACGGTAGAACTAAAATACTTGACGGCAAGAAAACGTCATCACGTTAAACCCCAAACTACAGTGATAAGTCAAGTTACGCGCACGAGATATACGTTTATTGTGACAACGTACAAGTCCGCCATCTGAATGGCACAAAATGTCGTAAAAGCTACGGGAGGTGGGCAGGTCCACAGCAGCTTCAGGTAACAAACCGTGCTTATGCACAGACCGCGTGTTCTATATACTACTGCTTAAAGGACGCAAGAAAGCAAGAACAACGTACCAGGAGGCAAACTATCTAGCAACCTGAAGTACAACGTAGGATGCAGTTATATAATAGTTTGCACTACATGCAACAAAATATTATAATTGCGTCGCCACTGTTATAATTGAGGGAACGCCGCCTCTCGATATGGATTGCGTAATTGCCTGATAAGATTGTCTCTGGCACGGTTAGAGCACGCCTACGGTAATTGCTTGTAACACTGGCCCGGTTGGAACGGCGTTGCACTGACCTGATGACGCTAGCTTAGCCAGTGAGACGGAAAATTAAGCGAGCGTGTGAACGATCCTAACCGCAAGCTTTCGGATAGACGCTGACCCCTCGGAACGGACGCACAAGAGAGGGGGGTACGATAGACGCGTGCTAAGGACTTAGACGCGAAGACTGGCCAGCTAACGATGCACACGCAATCACGTGACCCGACTGACTCCCAACTGAGGCTAAGAGAAAGAAAAGGCAAGTGGGCCTCTGTAGGCTCTTTTACGACCAACAAAGTGCGATCACAGCCAGTGCTATGGGTTATTAAGTTAGGGAAAACAGTCACCACGCAGAGGTGTTAGTTTGCAAATGAGCATTGTCGAAAGGTGCGCAGTTGGGCCGCGTCCCGGAGTGGCTGAGCATTGCTATGTTGTGGGGAGGAATTGAACCTCGGTATCCACAGCCATTCTGCCGGGGTTTCTGGCGCGTTTTTGCGGGAATATTTGACAGGCCCGCAACACAAACCAAGGGAATATCTCCGGGTCAGTTAGCGCTCACCGCTGCGGAGTGATCGCTTTGACTCTTCGACCTAACTGAGGACCATCCGTCGCGGGCCAGCCTTCTGCGAGACCAGGTGGTGAAACCTGATGCAGCTGCTGAGGGAGAACCAGGCGAACGGATCCTAGAGGGCTCCTACGTGTGTCCTCTTTTGCAGTGCCAAAATAGATTCCATGCGACGACATCTTCATCCAAATGACAGCCACCTCTGCGGTTGGTATCAGGAAAATGAAGAAGGTCAGTTTCGGTTGATGGCATGTACTGAAAGCTATGCATAACGACAGGAAACGCTTACCCATAACGGATCATCATGTAGGCATGTGTGGAGTAATAGTCCTTTCAGTTTGCAAAACTTCTTTTTGGGTTTTTCGAATTTTTTCCTTTTTGGGTTTTGACAACGTTTGTATTTTTTGGGTTTTCAAAACATTTGGATTTAAGCAGTTTCCCAGACATCCGCTTATTAAAGTATGCATGCTTTGCTCAGTCGTCCCTCATGATTCGTTGGCCGTCCACCTACTGGTACGAATAATCTGGATCCCGGTGGTCCGCGCACGTTTCCTGGCACTAGTGCTTGCCGGCGCGGCATTGACCTAATTTACGTCCACATCCACGGAATCCCGTTGTTCTTTACCGCAAATGAGACATGCACTTCCTTCATGCGGTACTTGCACAGACGCACGCCGTTACTTCTGGAAACGTTATGCCGCTGCAGTTGCAGTTCGTAGTTGTCGTAAAGTCGTCTTCTGTGCAGGATCACCCACTATCAATAGGTCTTCATCATCCGGTTGTCTACTGGCGAGACTCTACTTTCCTTTGGACGACGCTGCTGGCAATCTACACTGGGACGTTGACGGCTCATAGCGAATGGAGGTAACTTCATCCGCTGTCTGTTTATCTATGGAAACACCTACACGCCTCCGCTTATTCTGACAAGGGGACCACTTCGCGATCCAACCAATGGGCATTAGTAGCCCGGCGGTGGGATCCTTAGCCATTAGTTCTAAATCAGGTCTCTCCCAAAGAAGCTTCGCGGGATCCTTCAGAGCTGACAACTGGCTACGGAAAATAGAAACCCCATTGCGTTTAATACGATAGCTATTTCCTTCCTCCCACTTTCACTAATGGCTAGCCTCTGCAGCCGTGCACTGTGAAGCCACGTGAACATCCTGCTACTTTTGTTATTCAGGCTGGGCATCTTTCCCCGGTGTTTGCGCAGGTGAAAGCCAACGACTTACCCGGAATAGGCTTTCTTGTGGATAACCGAATGGCCGGCAAACCCCTCTGGCATGAGCACACGGCAACTCCCAATGCATAGTGAATGCGCATTCGCAAATCTGGGCGCCTGCGTATTGCACTAGAAGGAAGGCCCACGGGAGGTGCGCACATTTAAGAACCCCTTGCCATATCCCCTGCCTGTCACCTTGTTTACCGATAGGTGTTGCAGCAACACTTTATGGTGATACATCCCTAGGGAACGCACCACCTAGGTTAAGCAACGTGCACAGGAGGGGGTTTTGACCTACAATTGAGCTTTCGCTAGGCGGCTTTCCCTTGTCTGGTCCAATTCTTGATTCTGTCGTAACACCGCTTAAATAATTGAATGACACTCGACCTACGGGACAAACCGTGTTTCAGGTGCCTATTCTCTATCTCCACTCTGTTAGTGATGAAATTGCCCAAATTTCTTATGCCCTTTAAAATATGTCCTGCCCAGTTTTCCGTGTAGGGGAGCCACATGCTATTAAGATACCTAAACGCCTCCTTACTTCGAGCACCGATGGCAGCAAACAATTTGTTGAACGGCAGTTTGCTTTGTGTATACATCAACTTACTCAACCATTGCGCAACTTTCCTTCGGTCAATAGCGTTGCAACCTTTTAAATGAGCGCAGCGCTTTCGCATGTCTCTTAATACATGGAAGCGGCAAATTATCCCACGCGCATTTGGAATGTATGATTTGAAAGCGTTCATTTACGCTTAGCAGCTACCTAGCACCAACGTCCTTGCGATACCGGTTTTGGTAAATGCTCCATCCTTCGCTGCACAGCATCATGGTACCTGAGCCCACTTTTGTTAGGCTTGTGGGCACAGAAAAACTACGAGCGAAGCTGGTTTCTTCAACCAGCATTGCATGCCATAGCACATAAGCACCTTGGTTGTATTGCTGGGTGGAATCTGCCAATATGAGATCGCAGAAGCGATTACCTAATGGTATAACGCTTCGTGGTATAAAAAGTACGTACTACACTATACCTTCGTCTTCCACTATGTCGAATATACTTTTACTCTGCAGCCTCCTCCTCACTTTAACGGCTTCGTTCGCACGCTCCATCTTACCGTGCAGGTTAAGTATAGACCTAACGTCCGCACGTTCCAGCAGCACTTGGAAGGTAACAAAGGCAAGTCTCGTAGCTCACGCGTACTCCTTAAACAATGCATGAGCTCAATAACCTGCTTCTTATCCTCCTGTGACAGCCTGCGATTACGCACGTATAACCAAGACTTTCCCACGTGAAAAGCATGGCTATGCATCCTAGAGTAATCCGTTACCTTATACGAACCATCGACAACACGACATGTGACCTGAGCGGAACAATTGCAGTCACCTTTACAGGTGTATCTCGTTTTACCGAGAATATACCATTTATTTATTTATTTATTTAGATTGGCAGTATCAGCAGGTTAAATGAAGGCACTTACCGGCGGCCTTCACCACGTTTTCGGTGAGCATGAACACATACGTACTTCACGTACAAATATGCCATCACTTTCGGTACCACAATACCACGGTTTCGGCGGCATCGACCGGCAGGTTCAGAATTGTACACGAAAAATGACGTGCAGGATTGACGTTAAAATGCCGAGAAGTCTTTCCTGAACGCTTCAATCGTTCCATAATCCATCTTCCTTAGCTGTTTGAATAACTGATCATGGTTCAGCACAAGCTGCGTTGCTGACGTTGAGCTATTGCAACCGTAATCCCCATCCGAAGCCATCGCTGCCGACCCTTGACGAACGTGAAGAACGTGGCGTCCATAGCGCTGGCAGGTATGTCGGAGCATCATTGCGCGCTCGTTCATATACCGATCTACAAATTCATCAATTAAAACAGACATTGCACAATGTTTCCGTTAAATCGTCCTTTCTAACTTTTCTAGCGGTTTCAAAACGCGCTGCTTGGGATTTTAACGTATCCGTTGCGATTTTCTAAAAAAGTCGCCCGCCGCGGCCGATAGCTGAATTGTCCACTACTTGTAAACTATTCTAAATATATTAAAATAATAGCTTTCCTTTTTATTAGGGTATTAGGCGGTTTGCCTGTTGAGACGTTATTCTCGTTTATTGGAAACCCGAATGCGTTATCAGCAATTAGCGCGCGATGCGATTGCAAACGGCACGCCGTCCACGCGCTTGACGCCCAATTACCCCCTTTATAGCTAGCTTACTTCTGGTGCTGAATTGTTAGCATAAGCTAACTCTACGCACGTCCAGTAAACATTTCCCCATCTTACTTTTATGTGTTGTACCCATTGCCTTTGGTTGTCCTTCTAGTCTCGGATATTCAGCGCACGATCATCGCGCTACGATTGTTGATCCCGAGAGAAAAAGAAATTTATGACTGAGTTTGATCCCAATTTTTCTTTTCAGAGCCGGTAACTTATTCTCTATACTCTTCCACTTTTGCATTTTTCTATTTGGATTCACTTTCACAAGCACCATGAAGGTCATTCATCAAGATTCTGAGGATCAGGTTAGTGGGTTCAGTTTCCCTATCCCGTCTTTCCGAGTGACTAATCCTAAGACCTGGTTTACCCAGCTAGAATCCATCTTTTCTTTACATAGCGTTAAGTCTGACAGTGTGAAGTATTAGCAGGTTGTCGCAGGGCATCCTCCGCAAGTCGTCGATTACCTGGACGACATCCTGCAGCTTCCCGAATGTCAGAAGCGTTACGATGAGCTTAAGGTAGCAGCCTTAAAGCGATTCGGCAAACCAGACCAAGCTCGCGTACCGCAGCTTCTTACCGAACCCAAGCTAGGTGCTCGAAAGCCTTTTCAGTTAATGCACAAGATGCATCAATGAAAACTTTTCCTTTTCTCATTTTGTTTGCATTACTTTTTCCACTGGTCAGGCAACTCTCCGGATCTGGCACTACTCTAGCGGCGTCCGACCAGCCTCCTGCCTTCTGACTACTTCCTTACATTCCAAAAGTTAACGATCTGGGCTCTGTTGTCCTGGTGCTCTGTCCCCCTTATCCTGAGACGGTTCCTTGGCATGCAACCGCCTTTTCATTTAGCCACTTGCTTCCAAACGGCTATCTGATGACACTCATTACTTATTCCCACCTTACTTTGGAGGCCTAGCATCAGCTTGCTGACTTACCCGCGTTTGACTGTACGCTCTCCTGTCTTCTGACATCGCTCGGACTTCTGTGATCTAATGATCTAGACTCTGCCGACGAAAGTCTGTTACCCTCACCGCAAGACCACCGCTGGTCATGATTGAACCTTAGTATCATGTCCCCTTTTTCCTTAACATGTCCATTTCTGTTGATGCTCTCGGTCAGCACTAAGACTTTACTAATACGGCTTTCACCCTACGAGCTGACATTCTGGGCTCGTCTCAACGATCTCGTAGCTTCCGACTTTTGTGACCCTAATGATCAGAAGCCGACAGCTCCAACGGTCTGCGCAAGCACTTGGAGCATATCGTTGACTTTTTTCGTTCTCTTCTCACCCATAGAGCCTTTTTTCACACTCTAGTCTGACTTATCTGATCCTGGCTGTACGGCCTCCTGCCTTCTGACTACTATCAGACGTCTGAGTTCTAAATGATCTAGTCTCTGCCGGCACGATGCCCCCTCTCCCTCGCCTCCAGAGCACTGCTGCTCATGATTCATCACTAGTATATCCGCTTTTATTCTTAACACGTCTATCCTGTTGACGCTCTGTTAACGTTCTGACATTTATAATACGGCTTTCTCTCCATGAGCCGATATCCTCATCTCATCTCCATGGTCTCCTGCTTTCCGAATATTGAGCCCATACTTTTGAACCATCGACTGGTCCAAAGGTCTGTTCGCAACACCTCGAGATCTTTGTAGGCACTTCCACTTCCCCTTAAGTGTCTCCTTCACGATTACATTCATTTATTTTCGCACTCTGTCCGTCTGATAACACTTCGGGCCTGGCTCCACTCTAGCCTCGTCTGACCAGTCTCCTATTTTCTGACTGTTTTCGGAAATCAGAGGCGCACGTGTTCTAGGCTGTGCAGTCACAACACACCCTGTCCCTTAGCCTGAGAGCTTCGTTTGATATGCTAACGGGCTTTTTATATAGCCTCTGTAGTCCCGCAAATTTAATTTCTCGCGACATTCACTACTGTTATCCCTACTTTAAGCTGACTGCCTAGCTTCAGTTTGCTGACTTATCCAGTCTCATCTAAACGATCTTTTGCTTTCTGACCCTTCCCCAAACACTTCTGCTTCATCTTCAATCTTTCATTCTTTACTGATCTGTGTTCTGCTCGATTCTCGTCGTATTTCGCCACTTATGATATACGTGTATATGCGATATTTAAATAACAATTACATGCATAGGGGTACAATAGTTCAGGCATCGCCGCAATTGATTGACTGCATTCCAGATGCATTCCTTTCTTGTGTCTGCGTGGCTGTCACTGTTCGTTTCCTATTTCTCCAGAGTGTGTCACATGTACGGCGACACGCACCCAAGTAATTGTCCTCCGTTTCGACAACAATACAAGGCACACAGTTCCTCTACCTGGACCTGAGCGGAGAATTATCATCCTTTTACAAAATACTTACCGGAAAATCAATCAATATCTTCCACTGATATAATTCTTCCGCGGCATGAACCACTAAGCCCAATTTACCTAACTATACCTCTTCCACATATCTCTTGACTGGAGGACTTTCGACTACGGAAGGCACATTCTGCTGCTAATACAAAGCTTGAACAATCGATCATTCTAAGCTCTTCAATCCGCTTTGACCGCTCAAATGGCCGTGGTTTCCCCTATCTCTAATCAATTTCACTACATACCCCGGGGGATCTGCGATTCTTTCTTCGGAACCTATCCTGTCCTCCAAGACTTCAACATATTTCAACGTATATTCTTCAAGACTTTACGTGGTTCTGCAGATGATCAACACATCATATCCAGAAAGAATGCTTAGTTCCTGACCTACCGATCTGGCACATGAGAGGACCCAGGCACGCAATGGCCACTCGCATAACGAATCAGTCAGCAGAAAAATGGGACGCAACTTGACTGCGACTAACGTAGCAAAAGAACGTTCAACGAGAAACATAGCCAGTTACAACTTGCCATTCAATGGATTGGCGGCAGTGTTTCAGGACGTGGTGGGTTTCCGCCTGGCAAGCGTTCTCCCTATAATAAGCCACAAATGTCCGTTTAACAACACTGCAACGTGGCGAATGTGACTCGCCACCGAATAAAGTCACAGCCCATAACTTCACACTGGCAGCTCAATCAGAATCATCATACTGGATAGCTTGCTCTTCGATTATCTTCTAATGGATCACTCAGGATTCTTTATCTATTATTACTCGAGGTATGACTGCGATATATGGCAGAGCGATTATGTCCAAACATATGGATCCCGATCCCACTACAACCAAATCGTTCTTTCGCATGTTCACCAATGCACAGTTCCAAGCATGGATATATGAACAATTTTCTACTGTCACTACAGTTCCCATAAAATGTCTGTACAGCTGTACATACCTGATCATGCCTCAATTGGCGTGCCTCGCGTAGTCGAGAATAAATATTTATTTAGTTAGTTAAGACACTCTCTGTCGACGACTGTTCCCTTAAAGCGATGTGGCTCCGTCGCCTGCCAGGTGATGCGCGCACCCCCCTGTATACAAGTGATGCGCCTCTTCCTAATCTCGCCGACATTGCCGACCGTATTTGGGAATCCAGC